GTGAACATGATGTAATCTATGCAGAAATAGAAGTATAATGATGTACACCTGAAATTTTTACAATGTTATAAACCAATGTTACTACAATAAACAAAAAATTAAAAAAAAAAGAATTGGAAGGGGGATGAAAATTAGACATTGTGAGCGATAGGGATTGTACAATAAAAATTTTCTTATAAAAGGAAAAAAAAAAAAGTATGTCTATGAGCTTTGGTTGCATAACAAACCACCCCCAAACTTAGTGACCTAAAAAGGCAACCACTTGCTTAGCTGACGACTCTGTGGGCTGGCCATTTGGTCTGGGCTTATCTGGGTGGCACTTCTGCTGGGCTCCTTCTCTTGTCTCCAGTCAGCTGCTGGTGAGCAAAGCAGTTCTCCTTCTGGGGATTGGTTGGTTGTCAGTGGAGTGACAGGAGGCAACTGGGCCATCTGTCTCCCATCATGCAGCAGACTAACTCGGACTTGTTCACTTGGTGGTGGCAGGCTCCAGGAGCAAGAGAACAGAGGTTGCAAGGGTTCTTAATACCTAGGTTTGAAACTCACACAATGTCATTTCTGCCACATTCTGTTGGTCAAAGCAATCTACAAGGCCATCCAAATTCAAAGGATGGGCAAATAAACTCCATTTCTTGACAGGAGGAACTGTGAAGTGTATTCCTAGTATTTTATCTTTTTTGTTTTACCTTTGTGGCCATTTTTGCAACACACTACAATAAGATAGGTGATCTTAAGAGGAGAGAAAAGGATGATGAGCCAGGTAGTGCTGGGAATGGATTTTTTACATAACTGTCTGCCTGTAGCCTGGTAGAAGGTCTGGAAAGTGCTGCTCTAGGCACTTTGAATTTTGTCCTTATATTAAACCAGACCTTAAGAGAGCTGAATACTTAAACTCCACTCTTTTCTTCCTTCACAGAATCAGCTGTGTGTGTGTGTGTGTGTGTGTGTGTGTGTGTGTGTGTGTGAGGAAGATTGGCCCTGAGCTAACCTCTGTGCCAATCTTCCTCGATTTTGTATGTGGGTCACTGCCACAGCACGGCTTGATGACTGCTGTAGGTCTGGGGCTGGGATCCAGGCCTGCGAACCCAGGCCGCTGAAGTGGAGCACGCCAAACTTGACCACTGTGCCACCAGGCCGGCCCCAGAATCAGCTGTTTTGAATTGTGCTTTGATACCTGCCAGCAGCTAACTTTGAAGGGGTATTAAAATCCATTAATCTTATTTACCACAGAGATTTTGTTAAGATACTGTCCACTATGTCACACAGTGTCCTTTTCCTGGGCACTCATGGGAAATTCCTCTTCCCTCTTGGTACCAAGAATAGCTGGGTTTCTCCTAAGTCACTATTTTCAGTTTGCTTTTATCCAAGATACATTGCAAATCATGTAACTGATCTTGTTTTCTTCTTGAATTGGCTGCTGGGGCTTTTCAGAGCCAAATTGTGAGCTATCTTTTGCCAGTACATAGGAGTTTACAGCAGGCAATTTGTAATCCCATCTTATCCCTGGCTTCATCTTATTTTCCTTTCTCACTTAATTATTTCATCACCTAATTCTCTTTCAAAGGTGAAGCAGCTAGCATTTTTCAGTTAACTTCTATATACAAAGCACCAAAAAAGGCATTGGGAACATGGCAATATACCATTCAGTGATATCAGTGAGAGCAGATGAAAGCACTGGACACTCTGCAGATGAGGGGAAAAGTTTCATCACAGGAGAAAGGGAGGTAAGAGCTAAGCAAACTAGCATATCATGATCAGAGTTGATAGTCACACAACCCTGAGACAGGAGCTGATAGAGTCAGACTGGTAATCAGCTGGTGTGCAGATAGAACTTACATCTCCTCTTGCTGGGAGGAGAGGAAATGTGCTTTCACTGTCCTCAGAGTACTTGATATTCTCTTCTAAATTCCATAATTAGTTACATAGGTGGATATTTTCTGGAGCTAGGTTTGTCTGTACTATAAAGGGTTCTCTTATTTATAAATTTGAATTCTGCGCTTAATTCCCTGCCCATCCTTGGCTACCCGACTCTAGTCAAACCTTGTCCTGCAATACTGGGGAAAGCACTTTTGACTTCCTGCCAGATTATGATAGCTTTCCCACACAGATGAATAAGTAGACTTGTGCAAAGTTTCTGCCCTCGAGGGACTTTCAAACCACTTGGAGAAATCAGATATAAACGTGAGACAAGTAATGTCATTAAATTATTACATATAGCTCCAAATTTCTAGAATAACAAATCTGAGTTTGGAGAGTAGTGAATTTGTTTCTCTAAAAGTGGATTTGTCATAAAGACTAATCCTGAAAAATCTGTCTTTGCCTGTTTCATGTCTTGTTAACATCTAATCAAAACAGATCATGACAGACTGGTGCACAACCACTTAGGTGTTGAAGCCTAAAGTAGCAGTTGACTATCTGTGCTTTTGCACAACTTTTGGATAAATTACTAGTTTATAATTTAAACTTTAGTCCATAGAGATGTCATATGGAATTCTCACCCTGCCTGTGACTTTGCATTCACAAATCAGGACATTAATTATACTCATTTAAATAAATGAATTTTAAAAACGAATTTACCACCTATAACATAACTTGGATGTCTTCACTTGTTAAATAATGCAGATGATTTAACGTAAATGTTAAACTAATGTAAAGTATCCTTCATTTAATTGCATGATTTTTTTCTGAACATTGTTGAAATATAAATGGATATGAAACATGTAAAAGATGATTATTCTATTTTTATTATATATTCTGTTTCTTGAAGCAAAAAACAAAAAAAAAAACACTAGAAAAAAATCTTCCACTATTAAACACCTAGATTATTATCTGCTTCTGACATTTCTGAGTACAGGGGATCCAAAGGTTCAGTTATTTCCATGATACTTAAATAAGTCTTTGGTATTTTATATTTTCAAACATCTTAAAATTAAGAGTTACAGTCATATAGAGTCTACGGTCAAAATCAAATCATGACAAAATATTTTAAAATGAACTTTAAAAACATGACCAAAATTACAGTTTGTCATTTACTCCCGTTGCAGACTGAATGAAAGCTTAGTTTCAAACACTCGCAGGCAGATGCCTGCCGGTGGAGCCTTAGTCCTCCCAGGATTCCCTCTGGGATACAACTCTGTTTCACATCGTCTCTCAGAAAATACTTGTGTGTACCAATAGCAGGGAACTGCAACACAGAGAACTGAGAATAATGGATATGGCTTATGTGTGCTACAGATAATCTATATGGACACAATAGTTAACTGTTTTGTACTGGTCAGAAAGGTTCAGCTGATCGCTGCTTCTCAAAATTAAGTGTGGACACAAATCACCTGGGGATCTTTTTAAAATGCAGATTCTGGTTTAGTAGATCTGGAGCGAGGCTTGAAATCCTGCATTTCTAACAGGCTCCCAGGAAATGCCAATAGTGTCTGTTTCTGCATTCCACAACTCAGCCTACAGTAAAGTGCTTGATTAGTCTGTTTACAATGAATAACCATCTACAATAGCTGTTTTCTTTGGTCTTTGTCCTTGTAGCAATAAGAGTAAATTAATTTGATTGTGTGCTGTTTGAACTAGAGACAGGGAGTAAGCTGCACTCTTTATATTTCTTCTGCCCCAACCTCAAAAAATAGTTATCCTTCTTCATTTTTCCTCAATTATATTCCTCTTAAGTATCTCAAACTCTTCAATTTTAAAACTAGCAATTAAAAGAAAACAACACAAAGATCCTGGAGCCACGAGGAGGAAATAGGTAGACGTGCATAGACTGTGCCCATCACCTTTTCTTTCTTAGTGAAAAGTACTCTTTCTTATGAATTGCAGAGAGTTTGGCCTTTTGGCTTTGCTCTTTCTTTAAAGTTCTAGTACATCAAGGATGCATTTTTTTAAACAACCTTTTGTTTGAAACAAAATGTTATAACGCAAAACAATCTGGATGTCTTTCTACCTGCTTCTTACCTCTAAGTTCTTTAGAAAGTGACTGATTTGTATATTCAACATGAGGCCAGAAAACAGATATACATAATAGAAACCAGAGAAGCATAGAAAAGAGGAGAGACAACAAGGTCCACGGTGATATTTAAAAGTGAGGGAGAGGGAGTCAATGACAGGACAGAGGAGTTGGGCTTAGAATAGGACAGAATCTTTGGCAACTTTGATACTGTGAGGCATTGCAAGGAAGCTCAGTGTGGGAAACCTTAATGTTGGAGGGGATGACAATCTTTTATGGATTTATTGCCTATAAATTTATCTAAATCATTTTTGAATTAAAATGTCTTCAGTCCACAGATTCTTTAAACTTTAATTTCCCCTGTGAAGTCTTTCACTGTACCCTCCCCCTCAGGCATGACTGATTAATTCCACCTCTGGTTATACAAATGGACACTGTATATATCTCAAAGTGTTGCTTTTACCACACTGTCCTGTAAGGATTTAAGTGTTTGTCTCTCCGAGGAGACTGTGAGCAACTTGAGGACAGGGACTATGTCTTCCCCGGTGTTGTATCTATGGGGTCAAGCACGATGCCTTGGCGTGTAGAAGATACTCTACCAAGCTTTCTTGCATAAATGAATACCCAGATGGATGAATGACTGCTTACCACTCATGGTACAGCTGGACCTTTAACTTTTCCTAAAACAAAATTTACAAAACTTTATTCACAGAAACTGTGTTAAAGAATGACATCCAAGCTTTAAAAAAGAGAATATCCTTTAGTTCCATAACCTTAAGGCCTATAAGTTCCACAAGGCAAGGTACACTGGGAGAGTACCTCTAGAAGAGGCAACGACAGCAAACCACCAAGACGCATCTCACTCCTCCGGGGCGCCTAGAGAGGCCCCGGAAATGCCCGAGAGAGATGGCTGCCGCAGGGAGTCGGTGACGCACTTCCTGCCTGGGTTAGTTGTGCATTATTTTTTGTCGCCAGACGAAGCGAGTTCTGGGTGGATGAGCTGCAGGTGGGAGGAGTCCCGGAGGGGCCGGGCGAGGTGGGGTCCTGTTGGGGACTGGACAGGCATGCGCCCCTGCTTTGGGGAGGGTCGATGAGCTCCGGGGCGTTTTGCGGGGTTTGCTGTCTTCTCACCTGAGGGCAAAACTCCGGCAAAGTCAGCACGTGCGGGAGGAAGATGAGTTCCAGCTTGACCGCAGGTCCAGGCAGTGACGCCGCGGCGGGGGCCCGGACGGTGGCTGCGAGGGCCGGGGTCGCCGCGCCGCCCCTGCGTGATGGGCTTTTGGTAGTGAAAGTGGAGGAAGACTCACCGGGAGGTCTGGAGTCCGCAGCGCCCCGGGACTGTCAGGATCCCGAAACTTCTCGACGGCGTTTTAGGCAGTTCCGTTACCAGGAGGTGGCCGGACCCGAAGAGGCGCTGAGCCGGCTCAGGCAACTTTGTCGTCGGTGGCTGAGGCCTGAGATGCACTCGAAGGAGCAGATCCTGGAGCTGCTGGTGCTGGAGCAGTTCCTGACCATCCTGCCCCGGGAGCTCCAGGCCTGGGTGCGGAAGCACTGCCCGGAGAGCGGAGAGGCGGCGGCGGCCACTGTGCGCGCCTTTCAGAGAGCGCTAGATGGGTCCTCACCCCAGCTGAGGAGTGAACGTGTTCTTGGGGTAGGATGTGGGGAATGGAGGTGTAAGGGATGCTATGAGTTTCAGAAGTTCTTTCCTGCCTTAGTATGTTTTCTGTGAACTTTAGGATGTGCATGAAACTTTCTTTCCTTTCCGTAGGAAACTGTGACAAGTGAATCCATCCAGGACATGATCCTTGAGTTATAGACCTCTCAGCACAAACCAACAGGAGAGTATTGTTTACCCACTGTAAGACACCCTCTTGTCTAACTAGATTATCTGGGAAGGCAAGATGTCAGAATGGAAAGTGGGCTTGTGTCGTTCAGCTGCTTATGCCAGAACAGCAATTCCCCACCACTTTGTGAGGATCCCTTTTTAGTTTTTAACGGTTGGGGACCCCCTCCTCCCACAATTGATAATGGTACTCTAAAGAAGGGAGAGGGGCTGGAAATGGAGTTTATAATTGATCATGCCTACGTGATGAAGCCTCCATAAAATCCCAATAGTATGGGGTTTGGAGAGCTTTCAGGTTGGTAAAGGTATCCACTTAGCGGGAGGGTGACGCACCCCAACTCCAGGGGGGCAGAAGTTCCTGGGCTTGGCACCCCTCCAGACCTGGCCCTATGTATCTCTTCCATCTGGCTGTTCCTGAGTTATATTCTTTTATAATAAACTAGCAATCTAGTAAGTAAACTGTTTTCCTGAGTTCTGGAGCCCCTTTAGCAAATTAATTGAACCCAAAGAGGGCATCATGAGATCCTCTGATCTAAGCTGGTTGATCAGAAGCAGGTCCATAGGTGACAACATGGACTTGTGATTGGCATCTGAAGGTGGGGAGGGGGCAGTCTTGTAGGATTGAGCCTTTAACCTGTGGGATCTGACGCTGTCTCCAGGTAGGTAGTGTCAGCATTGAATTAAACTGTAGGACACTCAGCTGGTGTCACAGAATTGCTTGACATGTGGAAACGCACTCATCTGGTGTCAGAAGTGAAATGTTGTAATAAGGTATTCAGAGTATTGAGAGTAGAGGAGACACACAAGAGTGTGGTTTTCCTTTCAAGGAGACAGAGGAGAGGCTCAGGAAAACACAAAACTTATGACATTCAGATGTTAGAGACAGGAGGCACCCCCTGCCACACACAGCTTCATGTGAAGGAGACCAGGGTGGTCAGGAGCAGATGACAGGAGCTAGGGGAAAGTTTAGGCCAGAACCTATATTGGCGTTTCAGAGGGAAAGGCAAGACAAGGCAGGGTGAACAGTTTAGGATTGGCGAGGTTGAATAATTTCAGTGGGCTCTGAATTATAGCAGCGGTCGGTAGTTGCCTGGTACCTAGCCCTGGGATGATTAAGGCAGAGAAATGATGCCTCCTGGGTGTACGGGCCAGACAGAGGAGGTATGGCTGCATTAACCAGTCTCAGCTGAGCCATTTGCTCTCTAAGAATTGGCTAGCCCTATGAGGGGCAGTCTCCCTAGTCAGAAAGTTTTTTTTTTTTTTTTTAAGATGTCAAAACATAAAGTATTACAAATCGTAACAGAAAATTTAAAAAATACATTTCCCTTCCCTGTCATTGAATGAGATGCCTGGAGTCAATTTGTGACCCATCACTGGAACCTACACAACCGTCTCCCTGCACCAGTTTTAGAACTTTTCCTTTCTAAGAACTGTGGCTTTACCTCCTGTGAATGGTCAACTTACATTTAAATAAGCCATCTCAAAAGACCATCTTGTTGGATAATTATCTTATTGTGCAGTGGTCAAGGGAAGGGAAAGGAAATTTTACTGAGCACCTGCTGTCCGTGAGGTACCTTCATCTTCTCTAGATAGATATTTGTATCCACTTCACACTTGAGGAAACAGTGTCTCAGAGCCAACATGGGAACTCAGGACTTTCGGGTTATCTGTATATTCTCAATCCATATCAGGTTTCCATTTTGATAAATCACAGTGATATAACTCAAATGAATATTTTGCTCTTACCCCAAATTAGTGTAGACAGTCCACAGAAAGCCTTCTCAGGATTGCAGGAGAATGTCAGCCTCTGTCTTTGGTCGCTTTGAAAGTCCCCCGTCGGTACAAGACTCACTGAGAAAGACTCAGCAGCCACGGTTGCTGCTTGATTCTCAGTGCTTCCTCCTCGGTGCTGGCAGACTCCTCTCTGGAGCCCAGCCTCATCTTGAGACTGCTGATAACACTATCCTGGGACAGTAGGTGCTGAGGGGAGGTCTCGTGTTGTTTCAGGGGTTGGTGCCGGTCGAGGACGTGGCTGTGTCTCTAACCTGGGAGGAGTGGGAGCAGCTAGACCCAGCTCAGAGGGACTTCCACAGGGAGAGCGCACCAAAGGATCACGGGAACACGGTCTCGCCGAGTAAGTGCTATGGGTGTCTCTAGCTGTGTGTGACTTGTGAAGAGCTGGCTTCAGTAGATCCCTGAGCCAGCCTGCCATTCACAGACAGAGTTGAGAGCCTTGGTTGGAGTCTCTTTTGTGACCCAAGCAGAACCTTTCTGTTCTGTATTGTTAGGTGATAGAGTCAGCTTTTAATTTTGGTTCACTTTTAATAAAATATATACAGAAAAAAATATATAATGGGCACCTATATATCTATCACCCAGGTTTTTTAATTAGATTTTAATATTTGGCCATATTGGCTTTGTATATTTTTTTTTCAAAGCAATAATATGTAACAGCTATAGGTGAAGCCCTGTGTACCCTCCCTGAAGCTGTTCCCCTTGTTCCTTCTCCAGAGGTAACGAATATCCTGATTGTGGTATTTATCATTTCTATGTGTGTTTTATGTTCTTTCTACATATACATGTAGCCACATAAACACACACATTCTCTTTATATGAGCGTGTATGTAAACATGTATATAAACATGTAAATATATAAATGTGACCATATACATCATATTGTACATGCTTTTATGGTATATAAATTATATTACTGTATGATTCTTTTGCACCTTGCCTTTCTCTCAACATTACATTTTTGAGATTTATCCGTGTTCATACATGTAACTCTAGTTTCTTCATTTTATCACCTATATATTTCATTGTATCAATATTCTAAAATTAATTTATCCATTCTCCTGTCAGTGGACATTAAGGCTTCTAATTTTTCACCTTTCCAAACAGTATTACATTGAACATTCTTGTATCTTTCTCCCTGTGTTTCTTTTTTTTTTTTGTGGGGAAGATCAGCCCTGAGCTAACATCCATGCCAATCCTCCTTTTTTTGCTGAGGAAGACTGGCCCTAGGCTAACATCCGTGCCCATCTTCCTCCACTTTATATGGGATGCCGCCACAGCATGGCCTGACAAGCGGTGCATCGGTGCGAGCCCAGGATCTGAACCCGGGCCGCCAGCAGTGGAGTGCACGCACTTAACCACTACGCCACGGGGCTGGCCCCTCCCTGTGTTTCTGAAGAGACTATACTTAGGGATATTTGCCCATCTTGCTGTGCAAAAGGCTTGTAACCAGTTTGTACTCCTACCAGCAGTATATGAAAAATCTTCTTTCTCCAGATCCTTGTCAACACTCGGTGTTCAGCTGATGGTAAGATATCTTAATACAGTAGCCCAAGTGTTCCCTTTAAGATGTTAGGTTATGTCACACCTCTGCTCAGAACCTGCAATGGCTCCCCATTTCAGGCAGAGTAAAAGATGCCTAATGTGACGTGGCCCTGCGACCTCGCCAGCCCATCTTCTACTCTCCCCTCACTCACTCTGCTCCAGCCCCACTGACCCTGCCGCTCCTTGAACATGGCAGGCATCCTGCCTCATGGACTTTGCTCTAATTGATCCCTCTGCCTGGAATATTCTTCCTCCGGATCTCCACAAAGCATACTCCCTGTGTTTCAAGTGTTTGCTCAGATCTCACTTTTCAGTGAGGCCTGACCTGACCATAATGTTTAATACTGCAGTTTGCCTACCCATCTCCTCCTCCCACACTGCTGACGCATCCCTTACTTGCTTGACTTGATCTGTAGCATTTATCACCCTCTAACATCCTATATAATTTACTTTATGTTTATTTATTGTCTGACTGCCTCTTCTGGAATGTAAACTCCCCAAGGGGAAGGATTTTGTGTGTTTTGTTCATTAATGTCTCCCAAGTGCCCAGAACAGTGCCTGGCACAGAGTTGGTTCTCAATAGATACTATGTGGATGAATGACTGAATGGTAGGTATCCTGTTGCTTTAACTTGCCTTGCCCTGATCTCTACTGGGTTAAATATCTTTCCAAATATCTTTGGGACATTCTGTTTTCCTCTCCTGTGATTTCCTGTTTATATCCTTATCCCTTCTCCTTTCCTCCATTGTCATTTTTTAAAGTGCTTTGTGATTGCTCCATATTTTTTTTTTCTGAGGAAGATTCGCCCTGAGCTAACATCTGTTGCCAATCTTCCTTTTTGCTGAGGAAAAGTCTCCCTGAGCTAACATTTGTGGCCAGTCTTCCTTTATTTTGTATGTGAGCTGCCACCACAGCATGGCCACTGACAAGTGGTGTAGGTCCGTGGCGGGAACTGAACCCGGGCCACCAAAGTGGAGCATGCCAAACTTAACCACTAGGCCACCAGGGGCTGGCCCTGCTCTTTATATTTTTGATACTAATCTTTTATTTTATTGGTATATAGGTGGCTTGTCTTTTCACCATGGCATCTTTTGTTATGTGGAATTTAAAATTTTTAATATAGTCAAATTTTTCAATCTTTTACTTTCATGGTTTGTGTTTTTCAAATCTTCTTAGGAAAATATCAGGCCTTCTCAATCCTGTTTCCAGCTTTGCAGAGACAACAACTTTAAAATCCTTTAACTTTCTAGTGGTATTTATTTTCATATTTCTAAATAAGATGGTGCAGAATAACTGCTATTTTTTCCCCAATTTCAGTTATTATCTCCTGACTGCCTACTGAGGAAGACGAGAATTCTGTCCCCTCAACATGCACACATTTAGCAGTCCATAATTCTCTGATTATAGTTAAATCAGTCTTTTTGTTCATTAATATAATGTTTCAATATTCTGCTTATGTAAATATTATCTGTATTCACCCACATCATATATACAACAGTATGTTCTTTTATTTTACAGCTTTTAGTTTTCCCTGGAATTAATAATGCTTTGTTTTACGTGTGTTTACTTTTCTGATTACTGAACACTAGTTCACCCCCATGCTCTCTGTTAGAAATGTAAAACTCCTCTCAGCGTGTTCAGATATATCAGATACGCCATCACTTTTGTTTCCCCCTTGGAGCAATCCTCCTGGACCTTCCTCTGCTCCAGTGTGAACGGGCTTCTTCTCCAGGCCTGTTACACAGCTGTTGTCCTAGAACTTTCCTTCATTATCACCTGGGAATTCCTTTTCTCTTTCCTGGATCCCATACCATTTTCTTCCTTGGTTTACCCCCTTGATTTGATGGAGAACATCCTCCAGTATCTTCCAGAGAACATATACTTGGGAGCTAAATTTTTTGAAAATTTGTGTGTCTGAAAATGTCTTTATTCCTCTCTCACATTTGGATTATAGATAGCTAGATATAGCATTCCATGTTAGAAATGATTTTACCTTTGAATTTTGAAGACAGTGCATTTTCTAGCTAGCTTTCCAGGTTGCTATTGAGAAATCTGAGGCCACTGTGATATTTGATCCATTTGTTCTGTATAGAAGCCTTTAGAATCTTTTCTGTATTCCTGCTAGTATGAAATTTCACAATGGATGTGGCTTAGTGTGAGGTTTTTTTTTTTTAATTCATTGTTCTGAGTAGCTGGTGGGCCCTTATAATTTAGACGCCCCTGTCTTTGAGTTGTGAGAAATTCTTTATAATATTCTTTTATCTATCTATCTATTTTTATCTCATTTTTTTCTGTTTTCTTTCTGAGATTTCTTTCAGTTGGCTGTTGGAACTCATGGATGGATCCTCTAAGATTCTCCTCCATCCCTTCCCATTTCTTATCTTTTGTTTCACTATCTAGGAGATCCTTAGCTTTATCTTCCAGCTCTTAATGCTGAAATATTTCTGCTTTCATTAATATTTTCAAGAGCTTTTTCATGTTCTTTATTCTTTTCTTATAGCTTCCTTGCTTCCTGGATGCAATATCTTCTCTTATTTATCTGAGAATATTAATTATAGGTTATTAAATTCTCTGTTTCATGCATCGCATGTTTCACTGGCATTTATATTAGACGTTTTCCTGAAGTGTTGGTAACCTTTCACTTTCTATTTGTTTAATAGTCAAACATAAGAAATCTGACTGGAAACTCTGTGTTGGGGTAGAACTTGTGAACTGGTGATCTTCACTATAGGGTTGGTCACCAGGTGCTGATTTACTGGGGAATTCCCATATGTCGGTGTCTCTAGGTCTTTGGCCGGGGCTGGGAAGTTTTACCATAGAGAGAGTCATTCAACAAATATTTTATTGAGTGTCTGCAATAAGCCAGGTGCTGTTCCAAGTGCTGGGGGTACAATGGGGAATGAAGCCTATGAAATCCCTGCCCTTCTGCCTGGAGGATGTAAGCTTTGGAGCCAACAGTTTGGACCTGAGCAGAGGACAGTGCACTGAGGTTTACCAATTAGTGTGTCTGTTTTCACTTGATTTTCCTGATGTGAAACTGGTACCCATCCCATGTTCTCAGCTGTGCCTCATGTCCCCAATCCAGAATTTATCTGGTTCAGGCTTCCGGGAGAGTAAACTGCAAAAGTTCTGGATTGGGGGATGGAAGCTGGTGGCTTGACTCTTCCTTTATAGACTTTCAGTCTGTCTTAGATGTGTCTCCCACCCAGACCCTGCCTTCAGACCTTGGTGGTACTTGGTATGTCTATTACTCTAACTCGTCACATGAATAAAATTTCTCTCGTTAAACCATCCTTCATTCATGGGGTAAAGGCTGTACTGCCCTCTTGACACCCCTTCCAGATTGGCCTCTCATGATATGGTGACTCATACAGCAGTGGAGTGGGGCAGGGGGAGAAGAGATGGGCTGGTGGGTGTAGGCACAAGTATAAAAGGAAAGAAACAGGGTTTATGCAGGTAAATGTGAGCACCTCTGACAGGTTAATGAAAATATTTAACTTTAGGAATGGTTTCATGGAGAATATTAAAAAGGTTTTTTGTGGGTATTCTGCTAGCACTTGCTTATTTCACTCTTGCACACGGATGGAATGTCAGCAGTTTTTTTTTTTAATGTTTCAGGTTTGGAAACCAGAACCAAGAACAAAGAGTTGATTCCAAAGCAAGAAATTCTAGAAGAAGTAGAGCCACAGGGGAAACTACGAGAAGGTTCCCAGGGGAGGGCTCCCTTGCTTTCAGAGTGTTGTGATACCCACGAGGACAGGGTAAAAAAGCAGTCGGGAGACCCCTCCTTGCTGAAACTTGAAAATTCTCCTGAAGAGCAAGGACTCACCAGCATCTCAGATCTCAAGAATGGTCCCACAGAAGAGGGAGACTCCAAATATAATGAATTTGGGAATAGTGCCAGAAGTTCAGACTTGGTTCATTGTCAGTGTGTCCAGGCAGTAGAGAGGCCCGTTAACGGTGATGAACGTGGGAGCAACTGCAAACAGAGTTTAGACAGGGTGAAACATCCAGCAGTGAGACCTTACAAATCTACTGACAGTGATGAAAATTTCCATAGTCCAGGCCTTTTTAAGACCCAGCGGCGGTTCCAGGAAGAAAGACCTTATACATGTGATAACTGTGGGAAGAGTTTCAAACAGCGTTCGGACCTCTTTAAACACCAGAGGATCCACACTGGGGAGAAACCCTACAAATGCCAAGACTGTGAGAAGAGCTTCAGTCAGAGTGCTGCCCTGATTAAACACCAGAGGACACACACAGGGGAAAAGCCATACACGTGTTCCAAATGTGGGGATAGCTTCAGACAGAGCTCACATCTCAATCGGCATCAAAGAATCCACATGGGAGAGAAACACTATCAATGTAACGAGTGTGGGGAAACCTGCCGTATTTCCAGCCGCTTTAGACATCAGAGACTACACAAAGGGGAGAGACCCTATACATGTGAAGAGTGCAAGAAGAGCTTCAAACGGTGCTCTGACCTCTCGAAACATCAGAGAATCCACACCGGGGAGAAACCTTATGGATGTTCTGTGTGTGGGAAGCGCTTCAGTCAGAGTGCAACCCTCATTACACACCAGAGAACTCACACTGGAGAAAAGCCTTATATATGTCTTGACTGTGGGGAAAGCTTTAGACAGAGTCCACACCTTATCCGACATCAAAGAATCCACATAAATAAAGTCCCATCATTTTGACATGCTTCTGCATGAGCCGTGTTCTTTCTTTCTTTCTTGGTTGTTTTCATTGCTCAGAAACTACATTCTTTGGCTTTGAGAGTATTTCAGCCAATCGTGGATCATATTTCCTTGGGCATCACACCCAAGATAGATTCAATCTGACTTAAGTCTCGATACAAACATTGATAAAGTATGGCTGTGAAGGAGGAGTGTGGAAGTCGAGCCCCTCCCAAGATGGTTCTGTGGAGGAGACTTCTGATGAGAGCAGGGCTTACAGAGTGCTGTTCTTGTCTCTTCACTCCCTACGTCTGCGTTTGTGCCAGATCTTCCCCACTCCAGTTGCTTCCCTAAGAATTGTCTTTCTTCTTAGATGGTAGAGAGGATTTCCAATACTTTATAATCCAGAACACCTTGTAAAGGTCAGTGCATACAAGAGGTACTCGGTATTTTTGGCTTTTTTTTTTTTTTTTGGAAGACTGGCCCTGAGCTAACATCTCTTACCAATCTTCCTCCTTTTTTCCTTTATTCTCCCCAAAGCCCCCGTAGGTAGTTGTATGTCATAGTTGTATATCCTTGTAGTTGCTCTATGTGGGACGCCGCCCCAGCATGGCTTGATGAGCAGTGTGCAGGTCCGCACCCAGGATCCGAACCAGCGAACCCCGGGCCACCGAAGCAGAGTGCAGGAACCCAACTGCTATGCCACCAGGCCACCCCTATTTTTGGCTTTTTTAAAAAGTGCTTTTGTAGACTCCCTGTTCTTTCCCACTCTTTCCCTGTTGGGTTAAATTGTAGGCACACAACTAAGAACTTGGATTAGAGCCTAAATCTATCTTATTCTCTTTCCAGTTCTACACACTGATGACATGCATTGCAACCGAATTCTTTTTGAACCTTTTTTTTTTAACTAAGGGAATATAAGCACATTATGGGATATTTGGGAAAAGAATAGGGGAAAAAACTACCTATAATCCCACCACCCTGATCCACCTGTTACTGGCATTTTGTTGTGTTTCCTTCTGACTTTTTTCTGTGCCTATTTTTTATATAATAAAAAATCATAGTGTTTATATTTTATATATTTAATATTATTATGTCTTAAGGATTTTACATGGTTTTCATAACCTTAATGCTTAATGGCTGCATCATTTTCCATCAAGTGGATGTAACATTTGAGCCATTTTCCTTTTATTGGACATTTCAGGCATTTCTCTTTTTTTACTGTTGCAAGCAATGCTGCACTGAATATCAATGTAATTATAGCATAATTTGGATCTTTAGAATCTAAGGCTAGGTTCCCAGAAGTAGAATTCCTTGAGCAGTGTGTGAGCTATTTTATGGCTTTGAATATACCTTCCCAATTTCCCCCAAAGCGAGTGCCAAATTACAGTCTATTACAAGAGTTCTACTCTAGCATTGTCACCTTACCTCATATTAATTTTTTCCCTAAATGTGCAAAAACCAAAACCAACTTAATTGCCTTTCAGAACTCACCTCCTTGACCTTGAACGTGGTGGAATAGGAGTGCGTGCTTTCTCCTTTGACCCTCCTTATAACCAACAGGAGGAATTGTGAGAGGGCTGGCCTAGGTATATTCAGGCTTTGGGGTGTCATGTGGAGAATTTAACTTATTTAAATGAGATTTAGTATCAAGAGTACTGGGCTCACACTATCAGTTTAAGCAGAGTGTGAGCTGTATCATACTGGTGTTTTCCCCAAGCTTATCAAGGTTACTTGCCCAAGGTCATATAACTAGTAAGCAATAAAGTCATACACATATAACCTGGTACAGGTTCTGATCCTAGTGTTCTTTTTACTATAGGAACTCTAAACTTAGAATGGACTGGCCTCTCTGCATTTTTAGTTTTTCCTCCATTCTTTTTTCTTCTCCCTTCTATAGACATCTACTGTTGTCTACCTACTACTTGAATTTCCCACATATAAGCCTTTGGTCAAAATGCTTCCTCAGCTTTTAATCCCAGCTCCCTTCCCCCAGCCCCTAAACCACCAAATTAACATAAGAAAACTCCATTCTGGTAAAACAATTTTAAAATGTCAAATCTCAATTATCCTACCCCAAAATATTTCCTTTACTGAACTAACACTGTCTGTAGGTTTGTTTGTCACTTACCATGCAAACCACTATATACAGTAAGCGAATGTGTATATGCCACCTATGATCCCTGGATTGTAGGGATGAGTGTATTAGTCTGCTCTGGTGCTGCAACAAAATACAGACTGGGTGGCTGAACAATAGACGTTTCTTCTCAGTTCTAGAGGCTGGAAGTCCAAGATCAATGTGCCATCAGGGTTGGTTTCTGTTGAAGCCTCTTCCTGGCTTATAGACAGCTGCCTTCTCACTGTGTCCTCACATGGCCTTTCCTCTGTGCAGTGGACAGAGGGAGATCTCTGGTGTCTCTTCCTCTTATAAGGACACCAGTCCTATGAATGAGGGTGCCACACTTACGACCTCATTTAACCTTAATTAGCTCCTTAAAGGCCCTGTCTCCACATACAGTCACATTGGGGTTAAGGCTTCAACACAAGGATTTTGTGGGGGACACAATTCAGTCCATAACAGTGACGAACAATCTTGTATTCCCCCATAGCACCTAGTACAGCATCTTGAAAAATGGTAAATCTAGATTTTTGTTAACAAAGTGATAGAAGACCTGATTGAAGCTAGGAGGGGAGTTATAAAGTTATTTAAATCTATTGTCTTAGCATGTCTTTGTTTTAAACATTTCCAAGGTCTATTCTTCTGGAAGGTCCTGTGCCCAGCTTGGGACTTCAAGGTCTCCAGGGCAGTGGCACACTTAAAAGAGAAGCTCCTACGGCCCAAGGTGGGAACTGCAGGGGAGGGATCTGTGCCCTCTCACTAACCCTACCATAGTAAGGAACTGGAGGGTCTCGAAGCATCTGGCGGCTCCTAGAGGGGAAGCAGGGCAGGGCTGTCCACCAGGCAGCACAGTGGGGCAGGCGAGGCTGAACAGGTGAGCCCCTACTTCCCACATGCTTATCTTCTGGCAGGATTCTGAACAGCCTTTGGCAACCATTTTTGCCCCAGCAGATGTCACAATGGATCTGGAGATCACAGCATGGCTTGGGGGCCTCTGCAGCCACTCATCTTGGGTGCCCAGATAGCCACACTGCCACTTTGAATGGACTGGAGCATCTGTTTTGGCACTCCCGGCCTCTTCAGAACCTGCTCTGGATTCTTTTGGTGAGCAAAGGGCTTCTCATAATTGGGCTCCTCATTTTGATTATTTTTAATTATCCAAGGCCCACTTGCTGGATCATATGATTAGCTATTGGCCACAAGAATAGCCCTTAGGGCACCTTTCTGGTTCTCTTATAGCTAAGTGTACTGCCCACAATTCAGTCTTCTGTCAGGCCAGAATCCTGATTTCCAGATAGTTCTCATCCATACAACCCAGAGCTGCCATCAGGAAACCAAGCTGCCATTTTTTGCTTTATCAGAGAGTTCGATAGCTTCCACTTCAGTGGGGGAAAGAAAGTCCTTGGGAGGGGTTATTGCCAGTCCAGTAGCAGGGCTGCTGCTCTTCACTGATGTAACATGTGCCCCCTCAAGGCCTTTCTTGTGGAGGGGTGTGGGGAGGTTAATGCTCCTCTGAGCTCTAAAATCTCCACTACACATAGGTCCAAAATCCTTGATCTAAAGCCTTGGGGCCATATGTGTTCCAAAAATCAGAATTTTTCAGCTTTTAGAAAGGTAATGTATTTACATAACACCACTTAGGGGTTTGGGCCAGTATTCCATAATCCACTACACTAATATTTCTGGAACAAAATATATGAACATGCATGCCAATTGGGATAAAGACTATAAATTAGTCTTTATTTCACCACCAGATGAGTTCAGGTCAGCTCAGGTTTGGTAACCAAATAGATTATGAGAAAACATCTTTGCCCTCAGAAATTTTTGGATTTTGGAATTGGAAAAAAAGGGATTGTAGACATTTATATAAATATAAATATATATATATATGCACCCTGGATATTTATACATGTATATTTATAAATATAAATTTATATATAAATATCTTTATCTATCTACCTAAAATTTTAGATAGATATCCAGAAACACACCAACAAGGTTAAATTTTAAGGACAGAGAGTCCTTCCTTACCCAGCAAGACCTGTTTCCCTAATTCTCCAGCATTACATCTCTGTAGATATCCTTCTGAGCCAAGTGCAAGTCCTCCCACTTCTCTCTGGTGAAATACACAGACACTTCCTGTAATGACAGCAACTCCTGAAGAAATAGTGAATAATTACAATTCTTGTACTAAAGTTAAAGAGGATGGACATTTTAAAGATCTTGGTATTTGAAAGTACCTCTTCCACTGTATCACTGGACCCCTCAGATTTTTTTAAAACTTTTTAATAAAGTACAATTTACAATATAAACAAACTAAATGAATTTTCACGAACTAAACACACTCATGTAACTAGCTTCCGGATCAATAAACTAAACATTACCAGCCCCCAAAAGTCCCTCCACCTTGTGCTCCATTCCACTCGCTATCTCCCACCCCAAAGCATTAACTTCTCTTCAAGCAACACAGATTAGTTTTACCTATTTTTGTATTTTATATAAATGGAATCATCCAGTATGTATTCTTCTGTGTCTGGTTTAATTTCACTTATATTTTTGAAATTTATCCATATTGTAGTTGTGATATTTGTTATGACCTGAAGGTGTGTGTCCCCCTAAAATTAATATATTGAAGCCCTAATGCCCTGTGTGGCTGTATTTGGAGAAGGGGCCTCTAAAGAAGTAAAGTTAAATGAGGTCATAAGGGTGGGGCCTCACCCAATAGGATTAGTGTTTTTAAGAAGAGACATCAGAAAGCTTGCTGTCTCTCTACCTGTGTTCACCAAGGAAAGGCCATGTGAGGACATGGCCGCTGTCTGTAAGCCAGGTAGAGTCCTCACCAGAAACCAAATCAGCCAGAACAGAAATTTATTTTCTCACAGTTTGTAGGCTAGAGGTCCAAGATCAAGGTGTTGGCAGGGTTGGTTCCTTCTGAGGGCTTTCTCCTTGGCTTCTAGATGGCCGTCTTCTCCTGTGTCTTTACATGGTCTTCCTTCTGTATAGATCTGTGTCCAAACTTCTTTGTTTTATAAGCAAACCAGTCAGATTGGATTGGCGCCCACCTTAATGACCTCATTTTAACTTAA